AAGGACAAGTGTTTGTGGGGAAGGGAAGGGGGATGGATAAGGGTTTGTAAGGGAAGGGAAGGGGGAAGGACAAGTGTTTGTAAGGGAAGGGAAGGGGGAAGGACAAGTGTTTGTAAGGGAAGGGAAGGGGGAAGGACAAAGGTTTGTAAGGGAAGGGAAGGGGGAAGGACAATGGTGTGTGGGAAGGTAAAGAAGAGTGTTTGTTGGAGCGTGGGGAAACCACAGAAGTTGTGATACCTCTCGTTGTGGGATGTCAGAGGACACCACTGGAGTCCTGCTTCTTTTCTTTCCTTCAGTTGTTTCTGCCTTTCTATCGTACTTTTTCCCCCAGCACTAAGTTATGGTTGTTCTTATGTTGATGTGTTTCTCTTTACTGAAGCAAAAACTAAAAACAAAAATGGTGCTCTTAATTTGTTTTAAGAGGACTTATGTACAACGTCAAGATAGAAATTGTCAGCCCAGAGAACTTCTACACCAGCAGTGGCTTGAGGGGTAATATATGGTGGTAATAGATAGAGATAGATAGAGACTCGGAGAAGAAATTCTCTGCGTAGAGTTGCTTGAGCAGTGAAGTTGTAATTTATCATGGTTAAAAACAAAGTTTCGTAAAAGAAATTCTACGGCTCATGATTTAGTGGGGTCTGAGGTTGTAATGTATGAAGTATGATGGTTGAAAGAAAAAGAAATTCTGCGCTCATGATTGAGTGAAGATTGAAGGTATAATGCATGACGTTTCCAAAAAAAATCATCTAAAAGATATTCTATGCCTCATGACTGAATGAGAAGTGAACTTGTAATATATTGGTAGGGTATTAAAAAAACAAACACCTAAAAGAAATTGTAGGCCTATGCCTCATGATGTTGTAATGTATTATGATTTTAAAAAATAATTTAAAATTGTCTAAAATGAAATCTATGCCTGAGGACTGAGTAAAGAATGAAGTTGTACAAAATGATAATTAGGAAGGACAACCACTAAGACAACAAGAATGATATGCTTCATGATGATTGAGTGTAGAGGGAAGTTTTTCCAACATGACCACAGTCAGGAACTGGTCGAAAATTGATCTTTTCTTACATATCATTTGTCCTTGGCCAAAACTGAAAGTGAAAATACTTTGATGGTTAAACAAATGTCCAGTATCACAACAAATTTTTGTAGATGTTATAGTCACTTTTCTGAGTGAACGGTGCACCAACTACTCCATTTGAGAAAAAAGGCTGTAAAAAATTAAAGCATGTTTTACCTCAAGAGAAGTGCTCGTATCTCTTCCAAATGAACGAAGCTAATTTTTTAAATAAGTACAGCAACACAGACATCACAGGATGAACAGATGCTCAATAAAATGTCTCAGGACGCGGTGGAATCAGACGCTCGTCAATTTTTGGGAATGTGGAGTTACTGGTATCATCTTAAAACTTTTTCATAATTTGACTTGCTTTTTATGAAAAAATACCCATCTATCTTGAATTCTGAATAGAAGTCGAGATATTTGCAATTGAAGGAGATGGGGGTCACCTTGTTTCTGAGGTAAAGTTGACTAGAGAATGGCTGCCAAAGTTTTGTGACTTCCAAACCTTGAGAGTCCTAAGAAACTGCAGATTTGCACATTTCGTGCCGTTGAACATTTTCCAGTATAATCCACTCAGAAATATATTTTTGTGGACATAGAATGTGTGGAGCCCAAAAAATGAAAAATCAATAACGATGGGCAGAAAAATGCTGTTTTCTTCGTTTTGATTTTATTGACAAGCATCTGATTTCACCAAGAGACCTCACAAATGATGAATCAAAGAGAAAATAATCACACTGGTCACTTACCATGCGGTCTAAGTAAAAATTATCAATATTGCCATTATACGCTGTCATACAGTCTTACAGTTTCTGTCTGTCTGTCTGTCTGTCTGTCTGTCTGTCTGTCTGTCTGTCTGTCTGTCTCTCTTGCCTTTTCCATGTTCCATTTGACAGTTATTGTGTCAATGTGCTTCTTTTTTTTCAAATTTTAAAAAAGATGAATGCACTTACACTAGACTCATGCTCACATAGTAAAATGTAGAAACCAAACCACAAGGTTTATCATTATTATAACTACATTGAAATATGTTGACATATTCTCTAATTCTACTAATTTACGAAATGTTATTGTGTCCATATGTTTCTCTTTTTTCAAATTTTAAAAAAGATGAATGCACTTACACTAGACTTGTGCTCACATTGTAAATATAAAAACCTAGCCACAAGGTTTATCATAGTTATAACTACATTGAAATATGTTGACATATTCTCTAATTCTACTAATTTACGAAATGTTATTGTGTCCATATGTTTCTCTTTTTTCAAATTTTAAAAAAGATGAATGCACTTACACTAGACTTGTGCTCACATTGTAAATATAAAAACCTAGCCACAAGGTTTATCATAGTTATAACTACATTGAAATATGTTGACATATTCTCTATTTTGACCAGTGACATGTATGCAATGATATGTGTCAATATGCTTCTCTTTATTCAAATTTAAAAAAAGATAAATGCACGTTCACTAGACTTGTACTCACATTATAAATATAGAAATAAGCCCCAAGGTTTATCATAATTATAACTACATTCTCTATTGTGGCAAGTGACAATTACTGATGTTGCAAAATCAAAACAGAACTCTGCCTGTCGGCCTAAGTATTGCTTGGAGTGGAAACGACATTACAAATTGTAAAAAAATAACGACTGTTGCAAAATGTAGCAGACATTGATTCTACTTAGATTTTCCCACATGTGTAGATGGGTAGACATGTAAACCATGCCACGGCATTTCTTACTGCTGTGAACACTCTGACTAATTGAAATAGTATGAGAGGCATGGTGGTGGAATCAAGCCTTGTCAGTTCTTGGGCATATGGAGTTATTGGTCTCATCTCAATAAAGGTTATTCATTTGTCTTGCTTTCGATGAAAAAAAAAATCTTTTTATCTTGAATAGAAATCTAGATATTTGTAATTGAAAGAGGTGGGGTGGCCTGGTTTCAGAAGTAAAATTAGCAAAATAATGGCCCCCTAAGTTTGGTGACTTCTGTAGCTTTAGAGTCCTCGGAAACAGAACATTTACATTTATTGTGCCTTTAATCAACGTTTTCCATAAAATCCACTCATAAAAATGTTTTTGAATGGAAATACAAGGTGTTGAGCCGAAAAACAATTATTCGAAAAAAAAAATTCCGAACTGGCTGAAAAATGCCGATTTCTCTGATTCCATTTTCTTGACGAGTGCCTGATTTCACCACGATGCCTAACATATCTGCTGCATCAAAAAAAAGTCAACTCCTGCGTCGACTTACACATGAAAATAACACACACTCCACTTGAATTTGCCAAACATACGTAGGTACAAATTTTGCCATGGTTTGACTTGATGTTTTAGCTGTTCTTCCACATTCATGTTTTTTCAGCGTCCAGAACCGTTTGACAGACACGTACGGGGCAAGCAAAAAGCTTTTATTTGCGATGTCAAAGTTGACCTTCTAACAGAGATCTCCAGCCTCATTATCGTGGTGGTAATGTTCTGAAGAAGCCCCTCCCTTTTGCAGGCAGTGCAGTCCAGGTGTTAGTTCTAAACACACAGACCTTTAGTCTAGCCACTTCCTTATGAATGTTTTAAAAAATTACTTTTTAAAAAGTAAACTTTAGAAGAGAAATCGGTGGTAGGCGAGAATCGAATTTCGTTAATTTAATTTTTCAATGGTGTGTAAATGGTATGACACGCCAGCAATGAGGTAAAATGATGGTTGGAAGAACACGTGGCACACAGGAATACATTCGCCACTACTGCTTGAATTGTTCCAAGAAATGTATTCTCCCACCCCACTTACAAAAGAAAAAATACAAAATTTCTCTTTAGTTCCGTATAATTGTACATAATTATATCTAGTGGGTATTAATTCTGATCCTTCAGGCTTGCATGTCAAAATATACGATTCGAAAATGTGAAAGTTGAATATTAGCTTTGGCTAAAAAGTTTACGAGGATGTTTAGCAGCATGTTACACATATTATGTTTTGGTTTTGAAGAAGTGACACGTACTTGTATTAGTTTTGAAGAAATTACACATACATGAATGAATTCGTTTGTGAAGAAATGATACACATATGCATTTATTTTGAAGAAATGATACACACACGCATTCATTTTAAAGAAATGATACACACACGTACTAGGTTTGAAAAAGTGGCTCGCACAAGAACCATAGCTTTGAAGAGATGACACACACATGTACTAGTTGTAAAGAAATGACCCACACATGTACTAGTTGTAAAGAGATGACACACACATGTACTAGTTGTAAAGAGATGACCCACACATGTACTAGTTGTAAAGAGATGACCCACACATGTACTAGTTGTAAAGAGATGACACACACATGTACTAGTTGTAAAGAGATGACCCACACATGTACTAGTTGTAAAGAGATGACCCACACATGTACTAGTTGTAAAGAGATGACACACACATGTACTAGTTGTAAAGAGATGACACACACATGTACTAGTTGTAAAGAGATGACCCACACATGTACTAGTTGTAAAGAGATGACACACACATGTACTAGTTGTAAAGAAATGACACACACATGTACTAGTTGTAAAGAAATGACACACCTACAAGTTTTAAAGAAATGACACACACGTCTACAAGTTTTGAAGAAATGATACAAAAGTGTTTTAATTTTGAAGAATGACACTTGCATGTTCTAGTTTCAAAGAAGTGACACACATTCATGTATTAGTTTTGAAAAAAAAGTGACGCATGCATACATTAGTTTTAAAGAAATGATACTTAGATGTATTAGTTTTAGAGAAATTATATCCACATGTTTTAGTTTTGAAGAAATGATACATATATATGTGTATTAGTTTAAAAGAAATGGCAATACATGTATTGTTTTTGAAAAAATTGACACCTGTATGTCTTACTTTTGAAGAAATGATATGTGCATTTTGTGCTGGTTGAGAAAATGACATTTTTTCCCCAAGGTGTGAAGAAAAGAGTGGGAAAAAAGCAACACTTGCTCGAAGACTCTCAAGCTATCCTGTAGATAAAGGAAAATTTACGAAGTTGCAGAACTAGCAACACATTTCTTTTTTAAATAAAAGCAAGTCACTTTGCTGGCTAAAGAACGCAGGTCTCATCTTCCAAAGTGTTTTCAAATATCTCCTTGAAATGTAACTCACACAACAGCCTTTACACAGGCAACACACTGCACTAAATAATGCCTGATCCAAGACAGAGTATCTGTTTCTACAGGTGGTTGTCTTGGACAGGTGGCCGTCTGATCATGTTGGACTGTATCTCTTTGTTTGGAGACGGTGGAGAAGTGTGAGAAATCTTTTGGAGAGACACGCAGTTGATAGTATTGACCCTGCTGTGTGTTGTGGTGTGCTGTGGACATCCAAGCGTGCTGTCCCAATAAGTTGTCTGAATCCAAGCGTGCTGTCCCAATAAGTTGTGGGAAACGTCAGGGCACTCCCTGAAGAGAGTTGTTAGAAATGTCCTGGAAATACCTGTAGTTGGATGTAAGCCCTGCTGTGTGTAGTGATGGTACACACTGGGACTCTGAGCGTGCGGTCGGTCCCAATGAGTTGTCCCAAATGTTGAGGCACACACGCTGTTTGTTGCCTCAAGGGGGCGCTTTTCTCACATTTTGTGTCTGTCTGGAATAGTTACACAGGAAGCAGCAGCCCTAGCCTGTCGTCACTCGGCGATGTTTCGCTCGCAGCTGGTTTAAAATTTGGTAAATTTCTCACTAATTATGTGTATTGTATCGTTGTACCGAATCGAGCTCACATGACCTTATGCAGCTGTGAGCATTGTAAAACTCTTACTACACATTGTACCAAATACTCGCACTCACACAAATTATTTGATCTCACCAACAATAAAGTTCCCAAGTTACCTAAATAAATAAAAATAATTCTTCACTTTGACATCTCTACCACTCTACCACAACTGTACCCACATAAAGTTTTTAATATTTTTTTAAGATCACTTCTTTCATGTACCAAATCGCACTCATATGACCTTATGCAGTTGCGAGCGCTGTAAAACTCTTAACTAAACGTTGTACCAAACACTCACACATATTATTTGATCAGACCCACACAAAGCTCCCAGTTACATAGATCTAGTAGTACTTAGATCGATAGAAATTCTTCACTGTTACATCTGCCACAGCTGTACCCTCAAGAAGTTCTTGTTTTGTTTAAAGATCACTTCATTCATGTGCGCATGTGTGTTTTTTTGTACTGTTGTTTGTTTGTTTGTTTACTTAGTCGTAAAGTTGTTTAGATGTTTGTAGTTGGGGCAAGTTCAATAAATCAAATTGAATCACTTACTTTCCCTGGCTCTTGGCGTCCCCTTCTGTTGTCAAAAATGTAAAGATAAGAAGCAAACTTGCCTACTCATGTCTGTGGTCAAGAATTAATAGTAATAATAACAATAACAGTAATGGTAATAATGATAATAATAATAATAATAATTGTAATAATAACTATAATAATTGTAATAATAATAACAATAATAAGAATAACATCATTAACAACAATAATAATAACAATAATGACAATAACAATAATAACAAAATAACCCTACAAAAAATGAGAAGGTCTTGTTCTGTACTCTCAAAACGATATGCGCCTCGCGAAGTATCACTTCCGGGTTTTATAAAATTACAGAGACAGAAGCGTCGGCGTACAAAAGCGATCGGCGAAATAAAGAAATTTAGCTTTTTGCAGCAAAACTTTCTCAAAACTGAAAAAAACAAAGGGTGCCATGATCTGGAGAATATTTTAAAGAATTTTTTGGCGAAAACCACATGTCGATCGATGCTGCCATCAAAAGCCTTTTGAATAGCAAAATTCGGCCACCACAAATAGATAATAGATAATAATTATAATAATAATTATTATTACAATAATGATAATAATAATAATAATAGTAATGACGATAATGTTATAAAAGCGTTCATACATGTATCAGACATGATGAACAATTTGTAATATATATATAAGATAGAAAGCTTCCCTGACTGTACTCACTGGGTCAGAAGCCTGCCTCCTAAATGATCGAAATGGGACGGAAAAACACCGAGATCGACATTATTTTTGTTTTTCAGAAATTTTGTGTCAACCAGCGTGTCAAGACCTCTGGCAGTGGGTGTTCTAGTGTGGTTTGCGCCTTCTCTCCTATCAAACATCTATCGTCCTTATCTCCCCTCCTTCTGCTTTGTGTTCATTACTCTCTTGTAACACCTCTAGTCTTCAGCACTTTACTTATATGACATGACCTTATTGTGCTGCAAGTGCCGTAAAACTCTCACTAAAACGAAACAAAGACCTCTGGGCTCCCACCACACACGGTAGAAATGTGCAGCACAGACGAAAATGTTTCCAGTTTGAGATGAGAATGTGTCAAGTTTGAGATGAGAATGTGTCAAGTATGAGATGAGAATGTGTCAAGTATGAGATGAGAATGTGTCAAGTATGAGATGAGAATGTGTCAAGTATGAGATGAGAATGTGTCAAGTATGAGAGAGAAAAGACCAAGACACAGAAAGGCCTACTCAGCCGGCAGATTGTTTGCCCGCAAGTCTGAAGTTTGACACTGAGTTGAGAAGAAAAGTTGGGACGGCTTGAATGCTCTCACTCACACCCAAAGGTAAATTATGAATTATATTAAATGCTGTCGTTTGAAAGATAAAGTACTTAAGGGGGTGTAGCTATGGTCAACACCCAAATCCTATAGTTTTTGGTCTAATGTTTGCTTTTCTGCATCAAAGGCGGTGACATAGTACAAAAAAAGGTTACCAAGCAAAAAATTCAAGATTTTAGCCATAATAATCCCGAGCCATCAAAAATAAAGGATTGATTCAGCATTTTTAAAACCAATTTTATATTTTGTCAATCATCAACACTCATCAAGATAGAAGCCTAATATTTGGCATGGCGATTACTGTTGGTAGGTAGAACAACCTTACAGAGCCAAATTTGAATTTTCTGTACTGACTTGTGAGCCTTACAGTTCTTGCTATGCACCACATTCAGGTCTCCAATGTTTTCAGATTTTGTCAAATAAAACAGGCCTAAAACTCCAAATGTGTTCCATAAACAGCAAAAATGCTCCTGTAAAGTTATAGAGAAATGTGTATAAAAGATTGTGTCCAAATTTGAAACAATTCTGACAGTAACTTTCTGAGATCTACTCAATATAGTGTTGCTACCTGGTCAGATAAACAATTCTGAGAAAACTGCAAAGAGAGATAATTTTTGGTGAAGATTTTCCTACATTGCTGCCTCTCTTAAATGCGTTTTCCAGGTATTTATAAGTTTGATAAAGGAATTAGGCTTCTAAAGATGGATCCTTGATATTGATATCTATTAAGATACTCCAAAATCTGAAAATTGATATTTTTTCAAAATTTTTACTGATCTGACCAGTGGATCCCCTTAACGCAAATTCTGTGACATATTTAGTTTTGGTACCGGTCACTGATGGGACAAATGAGGTAATTTTTCAGATATGATTCTTAATGTGTCTTTCACATTATGTTCTGACCATAATTTAAAGTTGAAATGAATTAATTGATAATATTGAATGACAGTGTTATCAATGTTAGAAAGTATAGTCCCAATGTCCCGTCAGTTACCGTGGAATGGCCCAACGTTGTTCAGTCTTGGTATAATAATATACATGTTACGGTTACGTCATATATATGGTGTATTATAATTTATTTGAGCCGTAGTAGAAAAAGAGGGTTGATCTGAAATGAAAATGAAATACAAATCTACAGTTTAATTTAGTTTAAAGTCAAATACATAATGTACACATAGTTTTGATATAGCGGTACATTATTGTGTGACCCATTGTGTACCTATGACTGCACCTGTTTGACCTATATATAGGTGTTTCAGGTGCAGTAAAACTATTTCTAAAATTGTAAGGAAAATGTACTCAATGAGTACCTTTTCTTTACTTTTGCTTACATTTTGTCGTCAAGCAATTTAGTACCTGCAGTAGATCTATCTGTTATTGTTTGATCCACTGGGTCCAAAGACCGTACATATTTCATGGCATGCAATGAGGTCGTCATGATCTGACATTTGGTAAACATTGTTGATCTTGTCATCAAATGGGATTTCAATATATTCCCTTGAAATGTAAATTATGCACAACAGCCTTTACACAGGCAATAATGACTGATCCAAGACCAAATATCAGTTGACATATACACGACTGTTGCTATTATGTTCAGCTAACATGTTGGCCTATAAACGTTTGTGTAATACTACGGTCCTTTTGGAGATGGACGTTGAACTCGGAGGTCCCACCTCTTAAATAACCTAATAATAGTGTTGATAGGGGCGTTAAAGCTATACCATTTCACCATTGTTAAACGTGTATAATCAATGATCATGTACAGTACTACATCAATTGGTGCATGAAATGACACTTGTAGTACTGACACAAACACTAGCGCAATTCACAAATACAAAGTGTAGCTCTGACAGTAGAATAGTATAAATGAAGAAAAACATGTAGCTTACAATACAGGCATACAATTACAATATAATTGTCTCTTCAGAGGGTTTTGAGAGAATATATATATATTTGTATTTCGAATTGAGGAGTAGGAATCAATGAGATTGAAATGCATATGCCCTACATGCATTTGTGTTCCTACAGTCATTATGCCCAATGATGTACAATTACATTCCATCTAAAGTTGAAGTCAGAAGGGACTCGACTTTCCGTACGTCAAAACAAACACAAGACCACAAATACAATGTCACGCGTCTGTCACCTGCTACTCCTGCAGAGAGATGAAAACAACGTGTCACACGCACATTTGACCTTATGTGTTGTGAGCGACGTAAAATTCTTACTGAACTAAACTGTTAAAGGAGAAGGAAAAGCATTTAGTGTCGGGTGAGACACCGACTGTTTGATCAGGCACACCCTAATAGACTGCCCACACTTTGGAGAGACCTGAAGGACATGTTTTAAATGTTCTCCATCATTGATGGCTACAGAATTCTTGATTTTATCAAAAGTCATTGATCTTTACACAAAGATGTGAGAAGTGGTTTTTAAAAAATGTCAATTGCTGTTTTTATACATAACTAATTTTTAAAACTATATATAGTAATACATGTAGTAGATAGCCTACTCCAACCAGTTTTAACCCGAAAAGTGAAACCAAGCCATCCTATGAATAGAGGTGGGCAAAATCCGGATAAATATCCGGAAAATCGGATAATCCTCAATAAGTACATTATCCGAATTCAGACTCATAACTCTCTTTCCTGACCCGTTTGCCAAAGTGGGTGCACCCATTCGTTGAAGTGGTTCTAACCCATTTGCCGAATCGGTTCCTAACATATTATTTACCGAAGAGGTGCACTAACATATTCGGATTTTGCTAAAGCGACTCATTGCCCAGCCCTACCTATGAACTGACGTTGAAAGAAAAAAAAAAGAAACTTGTGTCCGCGCACTTGTATGGCCATGTGCCGTAGTGGGCCTTCTCCTCAGTTCTGAGAAGGCCTAGCCTTGTGCAGTTGCAAGCTCTGTGTAAAAGTTTTACCAAATGAAAACAACACTTTGACACTTTCACGTGTCTTATTAGAATTTCTTCATTATTTCGTACGTTGTG